TCTTCCTTTTCGCTCTTCTTGGGCTCGGGATGATCTGACGGAAGCGGTGGTGCTTCCGCGAGACCTCGCTCTGCCATGATGCTTCATACCCCAATCCGAAGGCTCAGCTCGCACAGAGATGACGCACCTGGTTTCGCCCGGCCTGATAATACCGCACCCCGGGTCGGAGGACGCGCGCGCTGCCTCGCGGTTTGTGCTTTGAAACGCGCTTTGAGATCTATGTATCGTGCTTGAGCAACACTAGTCTGAGAGGATGGAAACCGACGACGCACCTCGAGCCGCCTCTGCCGCCGCCTTCTCCTGACTCATCTCCTCAAGTTCCGCATCCCATTCTATCTGCTGCACGCGACCTTTCTTGGTGCCAGAGGCAGGCTTTCCTATGCCGAGGATTCGCGCCGCGTTTTCGTCTATGTCGTCCTCGTCTTCTTCTGGACGAGGTTCTACAGTCGGCGCGGAATCCGAGAGTTTCTGTCGTTCAAGGAGCGCAGACAGGTCGACTTCGGGCTCGACGATGGCTTCACCTGCAAGACAATGTGTCAGGACGGCAATCTATCTGGGCGCGCAAGATCTACTCGCCGTCAGAGTCTAGCTCGGGCTCGGGTTCAGCATAGCGGTCCACGTTAGTGCCAAGCTGCCGCCGTCCATACTTTTGTGCCATCTCCCGCGCCGTCTCCTGTTGCTCTTCCTCATTTAGCTCGACCTCCTCCTCGCCTTCGAGGACGAGGCGCTTCTGAAACTCTGCAGGCCGCCCGCGTCCTCGTCCACGACCCCGCGCACGCAGGTACTTGCCGAGTCCACCGCGCGACTTGCCTCGACCGCGCCCGCGCCCACGTCCCGGCGCGCCAGATTCCGGTGGAGCGCTTGCTGAATCGGCCATGTTTCTCGGCGTTGCCAGAAACAGGTGTATGAATATGGAGGGATGTCGGAAAGGGGAGCGGATGCTGGTCGGAGCGAAGGGGCTTTCGCGCTCGCCACTGGAGAGGGTGCGCGGGCCGGGCGAAGGACCGAGATTAGGGTTATCAGCCACGACGGCCTCTTGAGGGCCAACTTCGCAACCACCGTCTGTGCCGACGTCCAGCACCCCTCCAACGACGACGACGGCCCCCGGTCGTGCCTGCGCCAGCCATGATGCAAACCGCCGCCTTCTACCAGCACCCGCCCCCAGGCCCGCAGCCCGTCGCCGCGAAGCCCACCGGGGCGGCGCAGCTCGGCGCGGACGCGACTCGCGCGTCCGTCGCCCACCTGCTCGCCGGAGCATTCGCGACGCCGTGCTCGACGGCGGCGCACACCTTCGTCCAGATCGTTCCGCCGCTGTCCCGCTTCCAGCTTGCGCTCGACGTACTTATGCCAATGCTCGACGCTCCCGCCGAGGTGAGTGTCTCGCCCCCTTCCCCTTCCCCCACCCCCGCTCCTGTGTCCCTGCCCCGCATCGGACGCTAATCTCCAATGACTACCTGCTGACCACCCGTCAAACCTTGCAGCTGACGCAACGTATATTGGTGTCCTACATCCTCTTCTCACTCTATGCCCCGCACCCAATTGCGATTAATCCGTTCAAGTCCGTACTCTATGCAACGTTTATCAAGGAGCGCGACGCCGCTGTGCGGGTCGCCGAGGTCGGGGGAGTTCACGAGAACGAGCAGTTTGTGTGGGTGCTCTGGAAGATCCTCAAGGGTGATGGGAAGGACGTGAGTGTTCCGCCTCTGATCTGTGATTGGCATTAAGCCTGCACCCACCAGATCGGCCCGTTCTCACCAAACACGTTGGCGAAGTCGCCCCTGCCGCCCAAGCTGCGGGCGAGCAATCTCGCCCTCGAAGAAGAGGCTCCCCTCTGGTCGCTGGAGAATGGGTTGCGGAACGGGTCCAATGGGTCATCCGAGGCCGCCGTGTCCGCCGAACGCGACCATGAGAACGAGGCATACTCGCGGGCAGCGTCGCTGCTTCTCGCCGCACGCGAACGCGTGCTCTCGCTCTCCGAGTACCGCGTAAGTCCCAGTACACTCTCTGTGATTCTCCCACCCATTCAAGCCACGCACCCCTAGGCCCTGCTGCCCATGATCCCGAAGATCACATCGCCGTCGTTCGTCACGTCGAGCGATCTGCCGTCCATTCTGGCCATCAACCCCACCCTCGGTCACCCGCTCGTTATCACCCTGCTCACCATGGACTCTGACGTCGGCTCGGAACCTTATCTGGACGTCCTTAGGACGCTCCCGCCGACGCTGCCTTCGTTCGACCTCGTCGGCAAGCTCTTGCGCGACACGATGACTATCAACGACCATTCTACCGGCGGACGGACGACCATCGCGGACGTCGTGCGGACAGAAGTGCTCGGCTGGTTCATCAACTCTTGCGTCTCTTGGTTGGATCGTGCGGAGCAGGACGAGCGGGAGGGCAACATCAGCGACGACCGGTTCACGAAAGGTGTCCAGAACGTGTGTTCCTCCTTTTACTTCTGCGCCCCTCTCTTTGCTGAAACTATCGCCCCTCTTTCCCGTCCATCCCCTTTCCTGGACGTACACCCATTTCTTCTGCCGCACCTCCAGCTCTGCCGCTTCTTCAACTCGCTCATCAAAGCTCAACATCGTCGACCCCGCCTCGGACGCAGACTCGGCCGAGATGGCGCATTTCACGCTCCGCAACTCGAGCCTCGAGGAGGCGAACACGCTCTATCGTGTTCTCGCATGCACAAGTTCTGACGAAGAAGCCCAAGCCCGGTTCTTATGTAGCCCATTCGTTCTTGAATCCACCCGGACCTCGTGCTCGCGGATACCTTCGCTCCTCGCCTCGTCTTGCCCGTCGTGCCCACCCAACTTTAAGCTTCAGCCCTCCACTGAATGTAACGTCTTCCCATGTATATGTGCGCGCTCGCTCGCGCCAGCCTGTATCACCTGCCCCCCCCGCGAGACCTCCCCTGTAGATGTGTAGATGTTGTATGTACGACTCCCCCGAAGCGTCACCCGCCTCGCCGCCGCGCTTACATATGATGCGTTCGTTCTTCCCTCGCCTCCGCCCCGTCGTCCCCCGTGTTTTGCGTTCTTGCCTTGCCCCTTGTTGTGTACCCGGTCCCCTCCTCGTCGTCTTTGGACTCGCGCACTATATCCTCGTGACTGACCCAAGTAGCGTTATTAACAACTTATTGATACCTGTATTTTCCTTGTACCACCTCGGCTGCCTTCTCGACTTCGATTGTGCAGCAGAAGTTTCTTCGTCCACAACTACCTCTCAATGCGCAGCAACGCAACAATCACACCACTACGGGCACTGAAGTTTCCGTGGACGTGGTGGCGTATATTGAATATTGAGGTATAACGTCATACGAGGAAGTGACGTATGCGGTGTTCCATTCACACGTTTATCATACACTATACAGAACCTTCCATATGTGCAACACCATTGTATCCAGAATGCGCTGCATCCGACCCCACAGGCGTGAAAGCAATTGCTATCAACCACTCGTAACCGTGAACGATGTGCGCAAGCTCACCGACTACAGATCTTCCATCAAAGCACCTGTCCGTCCCGGATCTGTAGGTCTTCCACTCCAGGTTGCGGTATCGATCACGGAACGCAACAGCGGATATCTGACGGACAAGAGGCCGAGGGTCCGTGCGAGGATCTCGACCTGTGGCAGCAGGACCTCCTCCTCAAAGACCTTCGCCAGCTCATCGTCATCCGGATCCCAGAGCTCCGTCGGAGCCGCGCGTACTGGAAAAAGTCGAAGTACACCCTCAGGTGCGGAGGCTCGACATCGGCGCGAGTGCGGCGGCGATGCGCGCCTGCACGCACCGGCAGCGAAAGAAACGCCGACCACTGGGAGTCAGCGCGGGCCGCGGGACGGGTGGAGACGGCGCGTGACACGTACCGTCGGGATGCTCTGCAGCGGCGTGCGCCGGACGGGGAAGTCGCCCTCGTCGTACGGCTCGTCGTACCTCAGCAGCGTGAGGCGCTCCAGGCGCGGGAACGCCCCGCCGGCGACGAAGCGCAGCATCGCGTCCTCGGACGTGCTGTCCGCCCTGTACTCGATCTCCAGGCGCTCGATGTCCGCAGCGGCGCAACGTCGGAGGATGGCGAGCATCGCGCCGGAGCTGTGGTAGAGCGAGGGGACGAGCCCCTCGTGCAGCCACGCGAACTTCCAGTGGCGGAGGGACAGCGCGCGGAGCGTGGGCGGGAGGTGCTCGTACACCTCGTCCTGGGCGTTCGGGCAGGCTATGACGAGCCTCTCGAGCCTCGGCCAAGGGAAGGGGCCGGAGCACCCGGAGGCCAGAGGGGGGCTCGCTCGGTGGCGCGCCCTGGCCAGGAGTTCCATCCGCGGTAGCAGTCGCTGGGCGTTCCTATGCCGTGTGGGGGAAGGGATTTGAGCGCAAGTTTGCGGAGGCGGGGCATGTTGGGGAGAGCGTCACCGCGTGAGGAAGATCGCCGGTGGGGGGATCTGCGTTTATGATGAGCGTAGTGAGATGCGGCCAATCGAGGTCCCGGAGGGCATCCACGGGCGTCGACGCGCCTAGGAGGTGTAGCGTCTCTAGCGTCCCATGAAGCTTGGACAAGATGGACGAGAGAGATTTTGCCTCTGAAGAGTGCATTTAGAGATGAGAAAAGGGATAAACCTTACGATACTTGAAACCAGATAGGGCGCAATAGGTGGCACGTCGACCTTGTGTTCGGCTTCGGTGAGCATAGGACTGAAATGCAACCGTTCGAGGGTGAAGTGACGGAGACTGGGGACGGCTAGGATGCGAAGGAGTATATCGTATGATAGGCCGTGGCAGTTTTCTGCCTCTGAATTGAGCGTTATGGAAGAGAGATTTATGAAGGAAGACAAGAAGTCTTGGAAAGAATCGTGCAGACAGAGGGAGTCGCAGAGACTTGGCTTCTGGCGAGATTCCGGAGACAATGTGTGACATTGTCGCAAAACTTCGGGGCATTGGTCCACAACACTAAGATGTCTAAACCATACCGACGAGTTGAGAAGGTGGTGGCGCAGCAGCGGATGACGGCGGGCGTACCTGACGTGGATGAACAACGCGGGTTTCTCCTGTCGATATCGCTGGAATACGCGTGCGCTGGGCCACCAAGGTGGATTTGACCATAGGTTCATGCGTAAGATCGGTATAGAACAGGCAGTGCCAGCTCTCTCAAGCGTTTGCATGTCGCACCGAGATTATACGCCGCCTGGCTTCCCACCAGCAGCTCCAGAACGAGAATTATCACGTCATCATTTAAGCAGTCGAGAGTTCCGCCCAAACTATCACTATCCGGATACATCAGACACATGTCCAAACAATAACCATTGCTACTCACATACGGAGTTGCTTCTCAAGCATCTGAGTTCGAGCAGCGCAGGAGGAGGGAGTAAGAGGACCGCTTTTCTAAGGGGGGCTCCGCAGCTGATCTCGCGTGGATTAGACGCCCCAACGCTCCGTTGCCCACTCTCTGCGTCTGCACCTGTTCGTTCGATGCGCCAGATATAGAGCATGGACATCAGCAGAAGTTGTCCTGAACCGCCATGTCTTCCCATGCTACAACCTCCAACGAATACTGAACAGCCGTCACTAGCTGACAACTCGCTTCATATGTAGATGCAGTGGGACGTTGACCCAAAACGCCTACACACGCGCGACGAACCCTCCTGAAGAACGCGTTCGGATTCGAGTACACCGTGATATTGCCATTTACATGCATGAGCATACCGTGTACATATGGGATGGGATGGGCGGCAAGGAGGAAGGAAGGAAGGAAGAGGGAGGCGGATGCGGGAGAGCCCCGCGCGCCGCGCGCGCACCTCGCGGAATATGCGCGCTTTAGCTAGTCGTTCGTCGTAGTGTACAATAACAAGGGTAGGTCCGCGCGGAGGCGGCGGGGGGCGGGGCAGTCAAGAGCACGAGAGACAGAGGTACTAGAGAAGGAGAGAAGACCACAAAACTAGGTGGGGCCTCGGACACGGCGCGCGGGATAGATAGATGGTTAGACATGGGGGACGTAGGCGTGGCGTGGGCGTAGGCGTAGTGGGTGGGGGTCGGGAGGTGTGGTATGTCGGGGGAGAGTCAACAGAAACAAAGGGAGAGCGTACGCAACGGTCCGTCTGCGTCGCGACACCAGGCCTCAACCGGGTGACGGAGAGGATGGCTCGACTCATGATGCCTGCTTGTTGCGGAAGCGGAGCAGGGGCGCGAGGCCGGAGAGCGCGCAGGCCTTCTTCAGGAACTCGTGCTGAGGGGTTCGGAATATGTCAGGACACGTCGAGGTCAGACGTCGGATGGAAGCTCACCTCGAGCAGCTCGTCCGCGGTCGCACGGCTCTTGACGTCAACACACAGGCACACAGGAAGCCCTTGAGTTCGCGTGAGAGCGCGTCGGGCTTCTTGAGCGTGGGCGTGCCGTTCGTCGCGATGAGGTACAGCGCCTTCAAAGGCTCCTCATCAAGGTAGGGCGGCTCGTTCTCGATCATCTCGATGGCCATGATACCAAGCGACCAAATGTCGACCTTTGCGCCGTACTCCTTTTGCTTGACGACTTCGGGGGCCATCCAGTACGGAGTGCCCACCATCGTCGCGCGCTTGCTCTTCTGATCGGTGAGCTTGGCAGAAACCGAAGTCGGCTGCGGCGCGGCGGAGGATAGGAACGCGGTGAAGGTGAAGAGGATACGTACTGATCTTGACGTGACCCTGCGCGTCCAAAAGCACGTTGTCGGACTTGATGTCACGGTGAATAATGGACTGGCTGTGCAGGTGACCGAGACCCTTGCACGTCTGAAGTGCGACTGTGAGGAAGAGGCGAACAAATAGTATAGATCAAACGCACCTCCAAGCAGATGCTCGAAATCTGGTCCTCCTCCAGCGTGTTGTTCTCGATGATGTCAGTGAGCGCACCGCCCTCCATGTACTCCATGACGACCCAAAGCTCGTTGTTCTTGACGAGGTACGAGTCGAGGAAGTTGACGATGTTCGGGTGCTGGGACTCCTTCATGACGAGAATCTCGTTCACGATAAGCTCTTTGCGCGGTTGGTGACAGGTCCATCTCCTTGATGGCGATTTTCTTGCCCGTTGCGTGCACCTTCGCGACGTAAACATGTCCCGAAGCACTACAAGCGCCGATTCAACGAGCAAGCAACAACAGAAGCAATAAGACACACACCCCTGGCCAACTTTGCGGATCTTGCTGTACAGCAACTTCGGGTCGTCGGCGCTGACGACACTCCGAAGCTTCTCCATAATCTGCGCCTCGTTCATCGTGCTGATCCGCTTCTCCTTCTCCACCTTCGGCTTCTCCAACGCAGCGGCCGCAGCTGCGACGCTGCCGTTCCGCTCGTCGTCGCCGCTTCCCGTGATAGTGACCGCGGCTGGTCCTTGGGACCCATCGGCTTCTTCGCAGGTTGAAGAGGCTTGACAGGTGGGGGGCCGACCGTCGCACCTGTGAGACCCGATGCAGGCTGGAGCCCTGCATAGTCATTGCGGGAGACGACTTCGCGGGAGCCATGGGTGGCCGTGGTCCGCCGCCTTGGCGGTCCAGCGACTCTTTGCGCTCCGGCTGCATGAGACCTGGCGGCTTGGTCATCCCCTCCGTGGGCGGGCCCTGGGCCTTTGCCCGCAGACGGAGTTCTGCCGACGAGGGAGAGTGGTCGGGGAGGGGGGGCTTGGCCGGTGCCGATGGCGCGGGCCGGTTCGCTGAGAGCAGGGGACGCTGGGGAGCCGGGCGCGACGCCTGCAGCTGGCCGGGGGCGCCCATCGGAGGGATCGGGTTCCGCATGTTCGCATTTGTCTGCGCGGCGGACACGGTGTTGGCATGGTGCAAATGTGAGCCGTTGACGACCTCCGCGGCGCGGGCAAGAGCAGCTTGGGTGCCGTTGACGGCGTCGCCGTTGAGGTGTGCAGGGGCCGAGTCTTGACGTTTGATCGATGGACGGTCGGACGACGTGGAAGTCTTCGGGATCCCAGCCCCGCCGAAACCGGTACCCGCGTTGAATCGTGGTGCGCTCGAGGTGTCGGAGTACGGGGTGAGGGTGGACGATGATGAGTACGAACCCTGGTTGCGTGCGTATCCCATGCTCTCCTCCATCTCCCGCTTCTGGTGATCCGTGTAGAATTCCAGGACATCGAGGACAGCCTGGGGGTCCTTTGCGTAGTCTTCTCGGGTGATGGCGGACTTTGTGAGTAGCTTGCTCCATGCATCGGGCAGACCCTATAAACTCAAGTTAGTAACCCACGCCACGAGGGATACGAAGGACGCACCGTAAAAGCTCCAGAGTTGGGATCAAACCCAACGTGGACCTTGTGCACGAAGTTGGTCGGGTTGCTCACACCCATGAGAGGACTCCGTGAGTAAATGTCGTCTTGCCATCCGTAAAGTTCCTCGTCGCTCTTCAGTGAGAAAAACATGCGCTTCTCCTTGACTTCGAGGAGGAGGCAATAAGGCTTCAAATCTGTCCGCTCGATGTTTGCGATTTCGGACAGCAGGATCTGGCTTTGATATTGGGGCGAAGACTGCAGAGCCGTGTCAGCACGTCTCAATGCCAACGCGAGTGGGGGAAAAGGCGTATATATGCAGGAAAATACCGACCTCGCTCTTGTGTATCGACAACGTCTGCTCTTTCAGGACCAACCACTTGGGCCGCCAGAGCCAGGATACGAGCCCATCCTCCTTGACAAGAACGGTGCCGCAGCGGACGATGTTGGAGGAGTTGACCATGTCAGAGTTGCGGTTGGGGGAGCCGCCAATGCCTGAGTAAGAGGACGCGTAGGAAGAGCCGGAGGGTGACGACGTGCCGACTGAGAAGGAGGAGCCGTAGCCGGAGCTAGCGAGCGCGGCTTGGACGTCGTTGCCACGGCGGATGGGAGCGGCGGGTGCTGGGCGGGAGGGGGTGAGAGACGCGGTGGTGACCTGATACGCCATGGATATGATCTGTCCGCGGGATTGGGGCCAGATGGCGGCGGATCCTGGATCGCAGGGAGGGGCGCTGAGGGCGGCAGGGGGAGCAGGTGTTCAGCCGACGGCAAAAGCTAGCGCGAGCGCCGCCGAGAGCAGCGATATGGCGAGCGGGGTGGTGGCAAGGGACACGAGGGCTGCGCAGGGGATCGTCGGTGTCGTGGGTCGTGTCGTGGGCGTCGTGGAGGGCGTCGAGAAAGCCGGTCGGGGACGGTGCTGGCTTTGTTTGAGCCTGTGGCCCAGCAATCGCTCGTTCCCCCTTCCGGATTGGGTGACCAATCCGGGCTCGGATCTGCCCGACGCCCGTTCCAGATTGTCACGGCAACGAATCCCAGTCCCTTGCCCTCTTCCTCCGTCCTCAACCTGAGGTCCATCCATCTTCTCGCGCACTGGCACAAATACACCCGAGCATATCGACGCCCAGCCAGCCTCTTGTCTGCTGCTCCTCCCCGTATGCCCATGGAGACGTACGGACACACGAAACACTATGCAAGACGCCTCTCTGATGGTCAGGGCACTGCATACATTGTCGTCTGTAAAACATCACCGCGCATCTCGCATGCATGCCCTCGTTGACCAGTAAGTAACACTCGATCACTAGGCGAACCTTTGCCGAAGACGACCGGCCACGCGGACGAGCGTTGTTCTCGCCGAAGCCCGTCTATATCTGTATGTGCAGTGCTCTGAAGTGTATCTATGTGAATTACGATGATCCCGGTTATGCTGCATGCCGTTACGAGCGCATGTCGGACCTCGACGATTCATGAAGTCTAACACATCGACTGTATTTTACCAAAGTGCTCCCGTTCGCGACCGTATATCTATCGTAAACAACGACGCCCAACCAGACATCACGAGGGTTCTAACCTCGAGCTACAGACGTTTGTGTCGAGGTGTTAATCCAATGAAGACTGCGCGGCCTGACAAGACGCATCGAAGATTGCCCAAGGAAATCCGAATTGTTTAGTCCAATCTCCACATCGCATTTATCGAAGGATTTACGCGTTGATACCACCATTCCTCTCTGTTGTACGGACCCATCGTCATGAACGGGAGCAACATGTACCACAGCCGGTCCGTCGTGTCCAGCGTGTGCGGTATCTGCATCTCGCGACGCATCCCAATCCAGTTCCTCCACCCCACATACTCGAGCCACGGCGGGTAGAACCCAGACAGCTCCCAGTCGATAAGGTACACCCGCCCGTCGTCGCCCAGGATCACGTTGCGCATCGCGATGTCGCAGTGGGTGAGCACCAGCGGCGCCGCGCCGGCGAACGGCTCCCGCGGGATGCCAGTGTGGAACTTGGGGAAGCTGGCCACCGACCGCGCGTGGTGCTTCTCGAACCACACCGCGAGCGCCGCGGCGTCCGGGAACGGGGGCACCGACGTGCCCATGACGCCGGCGAAAGCGACGATCTGCGGCGCTACCGGGAGGCTGCCTGGGGCGACGGGGCCCGGAACGAGGGAGCGCGGGTGGCGGATGGCGCGCAGCTGGCGGACGTAGCTCCGGAGCATGTATGCGACTCGCAGCTTGCCGAAGAAGGAGAGGGCGGGCCACGCCTCGTCGAGGCGGCGTCCGGGGATACGGTCCATGACGAATGGCATACCCATAATGAACCGGCCGGTGTCGTCCATCACGCGGAGTGTGCGGCGGACGCGTGGGACCGGGATGGTGGTGTGGTGGAAGACAATATCGAGGGTGAGGGGTTCAGGGGTTGGCTCCTCGTCGTCTCTGCAACTGGCATATTTGCAGACAGTATCGCGCGTGAATGGCCACACGCGAACATGTGAGGGATTCTCTTCTGCCGGCAGAGGGGGTAGATCGGGGTCCTCTTCTTCGCATGTGCTCGAGTATCGTTCAAGAGTTTGGTCTTCTGTCCACTGGTCTACGTCTGATGACTACAGTCCTGTGAGATTCTCCACTCCGCGCGAAACCAGATGAAAGCCGACTTACCCCGTAGTCCGTACTAGGTCGAACCAATGGTACTAGGCGCGTAATACGGAGAACGTCGTATGACACGTCGGCGACGAAGCCCAGTACTGTGTATGCGAACACGGTGGCGAGGACTTGCACATTCTCAACAATGCCCGACGGAGGGCGGTGAGAAGGAAGAGAGAGAAGAATATCGGGCATGTGCAGGGAGGTGGTAAGCAGTGGCAGTACTCTCGGCGCGATGTTTTTCTGAGTGTCGCCCACATAAGGAGTGGCTTTTTTCGGGGGGCGCCTTCAGCCTCAGGTGCAATGTTATCGTAGCGACACATGTTCTCGTGTCCGATTATAAGCAGGGTTGTGGCGGCTGGCAGCGTCTTAAGTATAGTATACTGGTAGCAAAACACCGACTCTCTGTCATGGACCATACCGGAAGTAGCAATGGCTCACCTGCGATGTGGTGAACAAATTAGTTGGGTCGACTTCATTCTGATGGAGCGAATGGATTATGAATGCGTCAAAAAGCTTGACGGAAAGCCAATGGAAAGTTGCTTGAGGTTCGTAATCAGAACTTTACTTGTAGATACTCTTGGAATACCTAGTTTATCTCGCATTCTTCAAGTCCACCCGGTGGAAGTACACATGCTAGGAGCTGAATTAGGTCACGGCGCTGGCGCTGCGTAGCGAGCTGCTCCGTGCCCATGAAGGTTGGTACCACAGGTCCAGGCCCAACATATGTCGCTCGAGGTGGGAAGTTGTTCGATTCTTCCACTGGCGGGCGTATGACGCGCAGAATCACTGAACACTCACGAGGATTGACGTCCTGCGCAGGGGAAGGGAATGCGATTATGGAATAGCAGTGTTGTAAAGCAATACACAGCGCCAGCGCGCGAGGAGAGAGATAGTATAACGTCTACTTGTTCTTCGTGTGCCTGGGGACCGCAACGTGTCGGTGGGGGAGATGACAGGAGGAGGTAGGGGTACGCACTTGTAGCTGAACCTTTTCCGGGTGATCGCAAACTCGCCCAACTTGTGCCCGACCATGTCCTGCGTGACGTTCACCGGGAGGTACTCCTTACCGTTATGCACGAGGAACCGGATCCTGCAAGTTCAGGGAGGTGAGAGACTGAGCGCATATATACGCAGACCCACAGACGCACCCGACGAAGTTGGGCAGAATGGTGCACGCTCTTGCCTGAGTTCTGATGGGGATGTTGTTCTCGAGAGCGTGCTTGAGGTTCGAAAAGGCGACGAAGTACGGGCCTAAGCAGGAAGAAGTTGGGATGAGAGTTGTAGTTGCTGAAGAACAAAGACGCACCTTTCCACGCGGACCTCCCACCCTGCGCAATCGCAGTTACGAACATAGTCAGCAGTCGAGAGTGTCCGAGAGAGGCCTGGCGAATTCAGCGTCGACGCGTCCGTGGCAGCTCTGTCACACATTGTGACTTAATGAGGTCAGCGTGACATGGAGCGGTCCAAGCGGGCGCTTTTCGCAGCTGCGCATGCCTTCCCCGCTTCGCCGCAACACCTCCCTTTGGGGCGGTGGACACCTCGCCTGGTCGACGCACTATCGTCCTTGTCCTCTCACAGTCGACCCCCTCCGTCAACGTCGTACCGCGCACCTTGCTTCAGCCTGGGGCCCCTTGTCAGTTTGACGCCACAGTCGATCGCTTGGCACAAGTCTTGACTGCGGCAGAAGCAGGCAAGTCAGGAGCATCGTCCAGCGCATCCAACACTCCCTTTTCCTCGTCGATCATGTCCCTCGCGGAACGACTGCACCTCGCCCGTCAAGCAGACTCATCCTCGACCATCACATCAAGCAGCTCGTCGTCCCCCACGACTTCCACTGTGTCCCGCACGACCTCCGCCTCTTCCACTCCTTTCTTTCCCTCTCCCCCCAGCCCAGCTCCAGACTCGAGCAATGCGTTGCATCATACCAAGGTACGTCTCTGTTTCACTCTATTCCTTAACTTTGATCCGCGCTCAATCGACCCATGATCGCGCGCGCTCCGCCGTTTCCCCCGCATGCATCCTGGTCAGGCGGCAGTTGAAAGCGCACTCATCGTCGCGGCCGCGACGGTGCTCGTGGCTCTCATTCTCTGGAGGTACGTCCCTTCTATTCGCCCCCCTCCCCCTGCCCACGCGGACTCCCATCATCCACGCCCCCGCTTCAGGGCGTCCAATCGTGCTCGTTCCTGCTCTATTATGTGTAGTGCTGATCGGCATTCTTCACAGACTCATAGTACTGCGCCGGTCGAAACGCCCCCTGCGCGACTTCTTCTGGGCGAACCCCCAGCCCGACGTCCCCGCACGCCCGCAGACCGTCCCACGCACGACGGGGCTTCCCTCCATATCCGGGCCCCCTGCCTCCGTCATCTACGCGACCCTGCCCATGCCGCCCGCCGCGCTCGCCGACCGCCAGCGGCGGAGACGTCGGACGCGCGGCGGGGACATCGACGCGGGCGGGCGGCGGGGGAGGCTGGCGCACCCCGACGACCCCGACGAGTTCCTACCGGTGTACGACGACAAGGACGTGCTGCCGAAGTACCAGGACGTGGAGCAGATGAGCGGGGGCGGGAGTCGGATGGGGGCCCTGCGTGGGCTGGTTGGGCTGGGCCACGGCAGCGCCGAGCAGAGGAGGAGCAGGACGGGCGACACGATCCCGCTGGTCGAGACCGCGGCACTCGCGCCCAGCAGCACGACGCTGGACCGACAGCCGGTGTCGTCGGTGGGGTCGCATGAGGCTCTTCACGACATGCAAGAGCTGACCGCGGACGCACCCCCACACCCGCCAGGACAGGCCGCCGTTTGGTGAGTTTCCGTATTGACCGTCAGCGCCGCTCGCCTTCATGCTTGCACCCAGATGTCAACTCGTTGCTCATCCCACTTAATACTCGCTGTTGTTGCTGCTATATACTTTGGACATAGTTAGTACGTCTTGATGTTTGTCTGTATCCTCCCTTGCTGTAACCCTAGTAACGAACGGAATGGATGCGCCTCATGTTATGACGTCATTATCATGCTCGCCAGACGAGACCTGCGCGTCAGCTTTGGAGTACGCAGGCCCCAGGACCTTCTCGAGCATACAATGTTTCGCAATTTCGTCAATCGACCTCTGCGCACGCGCAACAAGTGACGCAAGCTCCTCCACCATCCGCACCACCAAACCCCATATGGTTGGCCCCAGGCTTATCCACGCAGCTGCGCCCACATCCTATGACGTCATACTATCTTGCCTCCACTTTGGGGTATAAGACGGGCAGCGTCGATTCCCTCCAGACTTCACAACAGCACATATCCTCGATCGATCATCCGCAAACTACTCACCTAATCACTTCACTAACCACCACCCACACCACCATGTCGTTCAACAACGAGTCCTCCGGCCCCAAGTACGTCTCCCTCTCACCCCGCCAACCCAGACACTGACACCCGTCTTGTTCACCACAGCAAGACCACCGGACAGTTCCACTCCACGAAGGGCACCGCGGTCGAGACGATCGGCTCCCTCACCGGCTGGGACAACTGGACGCAGGCCGGGAAGGAGGAGCACGCGCGCGGCGAGGGCGAGTACCGCGCCGCGCAGGCGCAGGGCTACGTCGAGGGCGCGGCGGACCGCGTCGGCGGCCGCAAGGACGCGATCGTCGGCGCCGTCAGCGGCGACCGCGAGCGCGAGGCGTCGGGTGAGTGCTGGCTGCTCGGCCCCGCCGTGTGAGGTACCGTACGGTGCAGTGCGGGCGCGGGGGTTCTGCGTCGATGGGAGGCTGATTTCGGCGTTGGGATCGCAGGGAACATGCGCCGGGATAAGGGCGAGGCGCAGCAGAGCATCAACCGGCCGGAGTGAGGGAACGAGTCGAGTCAATATTTGCAGCTTTGATAATAATTGTACGAGTATGGTGTTTATCGAAAGTGCTTTTGGTGCATCGCTGTGAAGAAGCTTGCGTGATTTCGTGGATTCGGAGGGTTCAGATTGACCTGGAACTAGTTGTTGACGAGCTAGAGATTACATAAGTGTATACACGCTGGAATCGTGCGTCATGTATTACTCAGTACAGAAGGATCATGTGGGGGCGGCCTTAGCGTAGAACTTCTCAAGAAGCCGCGTCGGTTCCCTGCGCACGACCTGCCTCTCGCGGATCATGTACGTCTGCCAGACCCACTCCTCTCTGACGTTGGGTATCATCCCCGATATCGACACCACGGAGGGGCAGAGCGTCTGAGCGAAGACGTCCACCTGAGGGCGCAACACGTCCCGCTCAAAAATCGTCTGGTCCGCTCCCGCTGAGGGCCGGTTGGGCCCATCATGAGCCATGTACCGATAGTAGTCGAGGTATATCTTCAAGTGCCGGAGGCCCGCGAGGCCCGCGAGCGCCCCCGCGATCCGTCGCTGTATGCCCCGCCCCGCCCCAGGAAAGCGGTCGTCAGCTCGCGCCCGATGACAGGGAGGGTCAAGCACGGCGCACGCACCGGCAGCTCAACATCGACGGGCGGTCGATCTGCGTTGAACGCGCGAGGCACCACCCGCGCGTACCGCAGCACTTTGAGCGCACGGAGGCGCGGGAACGCGGTGCCCAGGAGCCCGAACAGCGCGTGCTCCGCGCGCCCGTCTGCGTCCGGGTCCGCGACGTACTCGATCTCGAGCTCCTCGAGCTCCAGCCCCGCGGCCGCGCAGCGCCGCAGGATCCGGAGCGTCTCCGCCGCGGTGTGGTACGCGGTGAGGTCCAGGGTCTCCGCCGTCCGGCACTCGTAGAACCAGCAGAGGTGCTTCCAGTAGCGCAGCGAGAGCGCGCGCAGCGTCGGCGGCAGGCGCGCGTACGCCTCGTCGTCCGCGTTCGGGCAGGAGACGACGAGGCGCTCGAGCGCGGGCCACGGGAAGCGGCCGGTGTGTCCTGGCGGCCAGAGGGGGGGCCGTTCGGTCTCGCGGGGGCTGCGGAGGGCGGGGGCGGGGGCGTGTCGGAGGTCGTGCAGGCCCGTCCAGCGCGGCGGGAGGAACTTGAGGGCGAGCGTGCGCAGGTGGGGCATGTTGGAAAAGAGAGTGACGGCGTGCCATGATTGCGAATCCTCCCACGGTTCGCTGTAGAGCACCAGCTCGCGGAGACGGGGCCAGTGGAGCGTCGTCAGGAGGTCCGCGGGGGCTGAGAGGCCGGGAAGGTGCAGCATTTCGAGGGTGGTGTGCAGCTTGGAGAGCACTGCCGAGAGCGCCTGGGTTTCTGGGTGCAGTGACTCGGGTCGATGCGGAAGGGGATACTTGAAGCGCACCCCGAAAGATGAGAGGGGGACGGGTGTGAAACCGTGCGCATCGTCTGGCTGGAAGTCGAGGGCGACGTGCAGCCGCTGAAGCGCGAATTCGCGGAGGGAGGGGATGGCGAGGATGTGCCGGATCGTGCGCCAGGGTATGAAATGGCTCCGCGGCGCATAGGGAGAGCACTCAAGCGAGATAGACGAGAGCTGGGTGGTGGAGCGTAGTAAGGTCGCCAGGCCTCGCTCGGGGACGAGCACTTTGCACGATGTGACGCGCTCGCCCGGATGTGACTTGACGCTACAGGCTCCGCGGCAACAGTCGCAGAGAGTGAGCGATCTAAGTCATAGATTCCGGTCAGTTTCGGCTGGCATCTATTGCGTAGTCCACGGGGATACCTGATGTGCGGTGCGATCGCAGGCATCGCGTATGGGTGAGGCCCGGGTTCGAGGCGTCTTGTTCCACCATCTACAGAGAAGTAGCAATCCCTGTAGAAGATCGGGATGCTGAGGTAGCGCAGACGCTTGCATATCGCGGCAAAATTCGTGGCCGCCCTGGTTCCCAGGAGGAGATCTAAGATGAGAAGGAGGACATCGTCGTTGAGTCCGAGAAACGTGAGAGATGTGGCCCCAAGCTGGCTGTAGCCACGGGAAGTCTGTAAGGAGTGGTCCATTGTTCCACGAGGGGCACTGGCTCTCATCCTCCAGATGAAATGCGGTGTCACCTTCACGCATACGCATACAAGAGGATCGATGAGCACGTGGATGGAGAAGGGGTCTTTGGCGCTTCTTGTGTCGTACGAGGCTTGATATGGAAGCTTTTACATACATGACAGTCATGTGATCCTAGGTATAACCCGGTTGTCCTGTATGTCGTACGCCTGCCACTCCCAGGTCATATCGCGAAGACACACGAGACCAGATATCGAGATAACAGACGGGCTGAGAATCCGCGCAAAAGTATCAACCTGAGGGCGCAGGACATCTCTCTCAAACTCCATCTTTCTATTCCGAGGTAAGTAGGAACGAGAGTCCAGGTACATCTTCAGGCGCCGAAGGTTTTCGAGGCGGCTAAGGCAGCTCGCGATGCGTCTCTGGACAAGGTACCGAGGCCACAATAAGTGCTCCGCATAAGAACGATACTGAAGAACGACACGCACCGTGGGCAACTCGTCCATCGGTTTACGCGACTCTGGGAGCGACATACGGCCGTACTGCAGCACGGTTAGCTCCCGCAGTCGCGGGAATGCGGTGCCCAGTAGTCTGAGAAGCTCCTCTTCGCGGTCGTCCTCCACGTACTCGACCGTCAGCTGCTCCAGCGCCGGGATCGCACAGCGCCGTAGGATCGTGAGCGTCGAACCCGCGGTGTGATACGCGCGATGATCTGGAGTCTCGGCCCGAGTGCGCTCGTGGGCGAGCCAGAAGAGGTGCTTCCAGTACCGCAGCGAGAGCGAGCGCAACGTCTGCGGGAGGTGCTCGTACACTTCGTCATCGACGTTCGGACAGGAGACGACGAGCCGGTCCAGCTCCGGCCAAGGGAAGGGACCGGTGTACCCCGGAGGCCAGAGCGGGGTCCGCTCCGTTTCGCGGCTGTGGTGCACAACGCCGTTGCGGGAGTCGGCGAGGTTCAGGAGGCCCTTGCCACGCGGAGGGAGGAACTTGAGCGCGAGCGTGCGGAGGTGCGGCATGTTGGAAAAGAGAGTGACGGCGTGCCATGGTTGCGAAGCGTCCCACGGTTCGCTGTAGAGAACGAGCTCCCGAAGACGAGGCCAGTGGGATGTCGTCAGGAGGTCTGCGGGAGCTGAGGGGCCTGGGAGATGCAGCGTTTCTAGTGTATCGTGCAGCTTGGACAGGACTGTCGAGAATGCTCGTGTTTCCGACTGTAGTGACTCGGGTCGGCACGGAATAGGATAATTGAATCGTGCTTCGAAAGATCTGAGGGAGACGGGCGCAAAACCTTCGATGTCCTGAGGTTTGAAGTCGGGCGCGAAGATGAACCGCTGAAGTACGAATTCGCGAAGGGTGGGGACGGAAAGAACGCGCCGTATCGTGCGCCAGGGTATAGAATGGCTCCGCTGCGCATACGGAAAGCACTCAAGGAAGACGGACGAAAGCTGAGAAGCAGAGCGTAGTAATGTCGCCAGACCTCGCTCGGGGACGAGCAATCGGCACATTGTAAAGTGTTCGCTTGGGATGAAGGTGGCACTCCGGGCGCCGGGGCAGTTATCACAGAGCTTGAGAAACCTGACTCCTCCGATAAGATTCTTCTTTCGGTCACTGCGTATGCCAGTAGGACTACATACCTGATATGCGGAGCGATCGCAGGGGACGTATAGGGCTCAGGCCATCTGGACATGTCCAGATGGGAGTAGCATTTCTTGTAGATAACCGAATTGCAGAGCCTGTGTATGCGCTTGGATGTAGCAGCGAATTTCTTCGCCACCATCCTATTGCTGCTTAGGAGGTAATCCAAGATGATGAGGAGGACATCGTCGTCAAGGCTGAGTACGAGAACACCAAAATATTGGACCTCAGGAGGCGATAGCTCCGAAGAGCAAGCACGCACCTTTCTAGAGATATCTTTGACTCCGTTGGAGGATGCATGGTCGCACTTAGTAACTACTAGTAGACTGTAGTCCAAGGTGAGATGAACGTCATCGATAAGAGAGGCCGACCTGCACACATCTTCTCACGGACTCCGTGAGCGTGCGCGTCAGAACCGCGGGAACGGCGCGCCCAACTTGGCCTGCGCGTCCTCCGAGTCTACGAGAGCACTCGGTCTCCAGCTTCGAGGTCAGTGGTACAGACGTTCGGGTAGGACACGAAGAGGCTTCGGTATATTGGTCCTCGTCCTCCAGCTCGATGATCGATGAGCACGTCGGTGAGAAATTGCCGGATGGTCTCGCCCATTCCTCCTCATATGCACGGCCTCATCTTTCCACGATCAGATAGCAAAGCGGTCTGCGCGATCTCAGTAAACGTGTCGCTCAGTCCGAAGGAAACCCTAAGGGAGCGGAGAACTAGCACCTCGGATTTAGAAGTGCACTTTCGGGGGTCGTTACGATGAAAACGTAAATGAAGCAGCACGAAGGTATCGGCGTTACATGGAGAAGTGGGAATCACCTGGTGTAGCTAACTAGAATTTGAAATCGTAAAACCCATCAAGGCCACGCACAGGTACCCTTCGTAGAACCTGCCTGTCTCGTGTCTCGTACGTCTGCCACATCCACTCTGAGCCCAGTCCAATCACCAGGCCAGATATAGAGCTGACTGAGGGGCTGAGCGTTTGAGCTAAGATGTTAATCTGCGGGCGCACGATCTCCCGCTCGAATATGGTCTGCGTATCACCTAATGCAGGGATGCCAAAGCGGCCTCCAATCGAATACGTACTCAGGTAACGGTAGAAGTCGAAGTATATCTTCAAGCGCCGGAGGTTAACGAGGTTGGCCAGGCCGCTTGCGATCCGTCGCTATGTGCGCAATACATTGGAAACAATCAGTTGGTCGGCCTACACGAGACATCAGAAATCGTACGCACCGCCGGCAACTCGCCGTTTAATCGCGGGAGAAGGGAAAAATGGGTGTATGGTATCCGCGCATACTGGAGAACGGAGAGGGTGCTGAGACGCGGGAACGCCTGCCCCAGGAACGCGAGCAGCTGGTCTTCGCCCTCGTCCGCAACGTACTCGATTGTTAGCTGGTCCAGATCGGGGATCGCGCAGCGTCGCAGGATCCCGAGGGTCAAGGTTGCGGTGTGGTATGCACGGAGATCCGGCGGTTCGTAGCAGGCGGGCCGGCCCCGGACGAACCACCAGAGGTGCTTCCAATACCGCAACGACAACGAACGAAGCGTTGGAGGGAGGTGATCGTAGACTTCGTCGTCCACGTTTGGCAGGAGACGACGAGACGCTCGAGTTCCGGCCACGGGAAGGGTCCGGTGTATCCCGGTGGCCAAAGCGGGGGGCGTTCGGTCTCCCGACTGCTCCGGATGACACTGTCGTCGTCTGCGGGCCTCGCCAAGCCTTTTCCTTGTAGAGGGAAAAACTTGAGCGCGAGGACGCGGAGATGTGGCATGTTGGAGAACAACGACACCGCGTGCCACGGTTTCGCGTCATTCCAAGGCTCGCTGTAGAGCACAAGCTCTCGGAGACGAGGCCAGTGGCATGTCGTCAGGTCCCGGACAGGAGCAAAGGGGCCGGGGAGATGCAGCGTTTCCAGTGTGGCGTGCACCTTAGAAAATACAGTCGAGAGAGCCTGTGTTACTGGCTGCAGCGGCTCGGGTCGGCGTGGGAGAGGATATTTGAAGCGCACTTCGAGAGATGTGAGGGAGCGGGCGCGAACTCCTCTGCGTCTTCTGGGCGAAATCAGAGGCAAAGTACAAGCGTTGAAGTGTAAATTTGCGGAGGGTGGGAATGGCGAGGATATGTTGTATCGTGCGCCACGGTAACGAATGACTCCGCGGGCCAAAGTCGGTGACATCGAGTAAAATGGACGTGAGATGAGTGGTGGAACATAGAAAGCTTGCTAGTCCCTGCTCGGGGACCAGTAATTCGCACGATGTCACATCGTCGGATTCTTCTGGAGGTGGGCAACCACAGGCACTATCGCAGTAATCACGAATATCGAGATGCCTATGTTGAGTCAGTGAAAGCCACAGTTCATAAAGTCTGAGAGGGAGCTACCTAATGTGTTGTGCAATTGCGGACGTGTATATGTGGGGCTCAAGCGTCCTCGACATGCCATCCGCCGACACACGGCAATTCCTGTAGATGACAGGAATGATGAGTTGGCGTAGATGCTTGCATGTGGAAGCAAGGAGTTTGGCCGCCTGGGTGCCGAGGAGGTGATCGAGGATGAGGAGAAGGACGTCGTCATTGAGCGGGAGGTCCAAGGAAGGCGCAGTTTGACCATATGGACCTTCAGTCGCTGGGCTAGGAGGTGTCAGTAAACAGGATGATCGGGCCGTGGTGGATTTCTACCTCTGCAGGATCCTCTTGTTATTGGCCGGGATAAGAATGCCGGCACTTCTCCCATTGAAGGCAGTCAAACAGTGCGTTGGGTAGGGGTGAATGTGATGGTCGCACGCGGAACGGAAGGACGAAAACGAGAAAGGAGCTAAGTTGCTCGTTATCGTCAGACAATGCACAGCTGATATACTACCGTAGACAGGAGTCGTGGAGACTCTAGAATCGTGAACAGTAATGAATCAGGTCATGAGCACGGCATATAGTAAGAAATGGAGAAATGATCGACGAAATGAAGCGTGCCGAGTGCGTGGCCAGGCCCATGAGAGTGAAAAGCAAGTGGCGCTTACTCAGCAGGCCATGCGCTTGCGCGCCACTGCTCCCAGTCCCGTGACTCGACCACTCACACCATACTCATTCATGATTCCTCCTCCACCAATTCCCCCATCCTCCTACCTCACCCGCATAGTTGCAGCCACTTCCCCGCACCACTATCCTCCGAAGACAAAAATCACCGTCGCAACACGTCATCGCACGTCGATTACGACGCACAGCCTCCAGATCCCGCTCCGCAGCTTCGAGCCCTGCAATTGCAATGGTGTGTTTTCCAGCCACTGCGTTCTGGTACCTATTGTCATACTGTGCACATCTTCAATAGACAAACCAACACCTAGGGGTGCGAGAACGGACATGCTACAGCTTCGCATCCGGTTGTGTACATCCATCTGCGAGCACTTTATAAATGGGCATGGATAGGATCACTACAGGCCTTCCCGTCACTCCGGCCTTCAAGCTTCAAGCACGATTTCCACAGTCCGACGGTGTCTTTGCTACAGCATGCAACTCAGCTGTCGTAGCTAGTAGCCTGCTGGTCCCAGATCTAAGCGGCTGGGGAAGCATTCTCGCCATTTAGGCGCTTATTCCCTTTTGTCTTGCAGCGTCACCGCTCGCCGCTCTGATCCTCTTCCTCTCTCTATGTGACTGTCAAGATAACTAGCTGGACTCGCACACTGGATGACACGACGCGAGCATAGTTCTAGTTGACTGGACACCTTCGAATTCAACTGAGGAACTACAAGGCGACGGAGACGGCTTCAAGTCTCGCGAAAGGCCCATTGGCTTCGATCACCCAACAGTACGGAAGACAATAGTCAATGCCGCCGGCATCGTACCACGTCCTGCTCCGCATAGTCAGGTGGAACGCGGTGCGTATTCCTGGCGACAGCAGCGCGCCCGCCGCTGCACGTTCAGGTGAGTTCCGTCATCGCGTGTTGCATGATATAAACACGCCCGCCTCGATGTCGAAGCGCTGACTCGCTGCATACATTGACAGCGGACCATTTGTGTCTCGGCACCCCGATCCGCGCCTCGTTCCCGCCATATCCCGCCCGCACACAATCGCGCGCCCCTGGTACCGTCGGGATGACGAGCACGGTGTGAATCAACTCCGTGGATGCGCGGGGCGCGCTTCCCTGCGGAGCGCGCGACATTGCTCGCGCGGCGAAGGCGCCGTACGCTTCGCTGGGCGCGACGGGCTATTGTCTCGTCGGCGCCGCCCATCCAGCCGTCCTCATCCTCACACACATCGTTGCTCCGCCCAGGCGCGCGTGGAGGCGCGTTCACAGTTCCAGGAGATAAAAGACTCCTGGGGTGGTCGCGACAGCCAGTGACCTCGCCCTTGTCTCCGTCTCCCGCACCTGAGCTCACAGCGAACTTTGCCCCTCCGCCCCCGGACCCCACCGCACCTCCATTACGTTGACATGGACGCGTTCTTCACCATCTCCGCCGTGGTCCCCGTCGAGCAGCCGCCCGAATCGACACAGGAGATTGACTTCAGCGACCGCGAGCGGCTCGCGACGAGGTCCTGGCACTCGACGTGCGTCATTGCATGAGTGCACATGGTGTGCTTTATGCCCTCGTGTGGCAAATCCTTGGTGAGCATTTTGTTCCATACTCAGCTGTCGGTGCAGTCGCTGACAACTCTTACGCAGACTGCCCACGACGCGATTCCCGCACCTTACCGCGACGACCCCCTAATCGCACACCTCACCCCCGCGACATCCCTCCACCTCCACGCCGTCACCAGAGACGCCGCATTCACCTATCCTCCCGCCGCACCTCCGAAACGTGCAGCGCACCTTCGTTTCGCGCGCGCGCCTCCTCTTACAGCCAGCCCTCCAGTGTCCGCGCCGCGCGGACACCACCACCCTCCTTCTTCGCGCCTCGAACACACCCACCATCCACCTCGCCTTTACGCCTCCAACATGATTGCCGCACGGCGCGACCTCATCTCGCGCGCGGCTGTAACTTATCCATTTGCACATATTTCCCCCTTCAACTCCACTCAGCATATCGTCGCTTGTTTGTATGCCTTAACGTTACCGTTGACAGCTGGGACACCTGTATTGTAGGAGCCATTGAGGAGGAGCTCAGGCCAGACTCTGTATCCGTATTGTGGATGGATGGACGCCGATTTACGTTTACGCACGAATACGCACGGCTCACAGCTCCGGCTGTTGTTGTAGAAGTACTTTCATGTTTAACGACGTTACTTGTTGATCTCGCGAAGTATGGCTCGAATTCGTGGACGAAGTGATATAACAGTATGTATAAGAGTAAGAGTGTGGAGTCGTAATTGTCCGAAGTGGTCCAAGATCAGGATGTCAATCCAAAGCGGACAGGCAGCGATGCCGGGCACCAGATCCTTGACTAGGGGGATCTATGGTTTCCCGCTGCGCAATGACGGAGGTGATCATGAGGATGAACTCTCCTACGTGACGAGGTGAGAAAGTTCTGAAACATCCGCGTCATTCGAGTCGCTCACCTCTGGTACGATTTACTGGACCAAAGATCAAGCTATAACGCAGGTGCAATGCGCGGAGAGCGTGCCGGCGAACCGCTCCTGGTCGACGAAGTGAGGCTCTGTCGACTCCGCGGGCTGCTCCGCGGGAACCACGATGGCGATGGAGAGAAACGTGTCCATGAGGTTGAGGAGCGGGGAGGCGAGGGCAGAGGATTACGGTCGCTCTGGTGGTCGTGTCTTCCGCCCTTCGCTTTTATACAGCAGCGCGCCGACGGGTGGGCAACGTCGGAGTCGAATATTGGCACGGCACAGGACGCTGACAGGTGGGCGTGTGCGTCTGAGACAGCTGGCCGAAGCTCTCGACGAGCGTACTTGTCTTCATTGTCTCCCCGCAGGATGACAAGAAGGACGCAAGGGCCGTTTCCCGCTATGGTGGAGCGTCAGCAATAGCGACTCTGGTGCAGCATGCTTGAGACGCACATGTAGGGTATTATTCGAGACCCCGGGACACTGCTACTTATGCCATCCCTGGCATCAGAGTACTTTCCTGTCTTGGGTCGTGCACGCTTTCCAGTGCCAGCCGCCATGTTCAGTGTTCAAACGTTCACCGTAGATCGCCACCCGGGTAATACGGCGGGTATTACCTCAACAGCACGCCGTCTCCGCGAGGATATCGATCTGCGGCCGTAGGAGATCCAGTAATTCATGTGGATCCAGAGTCATCTTGCAGTCAAGCCTCTTGATGCCCTTGGTGAGAGAAAGAGAGAGAGAGAGGTGTGTGTGTGTGTTTCGGACTCGGCGACGGCATCTGGCAGCAGGACCCCGCGAGCAGTTCGGGCGCCAGCAGGACCTCTGATACTCCTCCAATTGCGCGGCGCGGAAGCATCGACGCTCGTTTACCTTGTCCTTGGACCAGTCCCTGCGCATCCACATCCTACTGCCTGTGAAGATGGCTCTACCCTTCTCGCTCGGTCTCCCGTATTTCTGCTCCTCACAGTCCTTACAGCTTGTGAGTTAGCATGACATATACTTTGGCAAGTGCGCATTCTGTTCAACTCTTTGCGTTTCTTCCAGTCCGTGCTAATGCCATGAATCCGGTGACCTTTTTCATAGACTTGTCACTTTCAACACTCATCCCAAATTCCTTCACTGCTCTGCAAGGCATGACGCGTATGCCCGGGGTTTCTCCACGACTTGCGCTGGATTGTATTGGATGTATTGGACACATTATGTCATAGGGTGAGTGACCTGTTCTGGTTGTCGGCTCGATGGGACGCCTTTCGATGCCTGGTTTCCCATTGCATGGT